GTCACTTGTCGGGAGTGTCTCTCAGCTTCGATGATTCTGATTTGTTTTTAGGATGTACATCTGAATTAAATATCGGTAATGTTTCACTTCTGTCGCTTTGTTGTTATTGTGTTATTGTTATTTGTTATTGTTCATGCTTATCTAGAGTTTTTGTCATAGTCATTGCAGACGTCTTTTTTTAATTTTTAAATTTTTGGCTTCATATCTTGGGTTTGTGCAGAGAACGAAATTCGGAACCCGAATTGGGTGAGAATGGTGCTTCCTCGATGTAACTCCTGGAAATTATCCATCGCATGGAATTAAAATGGTGTTAATCAGTAAAAAATCAATAAACGAAATTTTAGGAGGGAAGAGATCAACCTTGCAAATCGGTGAAGTTTACAAAGACTCATTAGTACGGGAAAAGTCTGGTGTGGCAGCGGTTCAATTGCTGTTGTGTAACAACAGATTCAAATTATTTTTCATACATTGGAAAAGAAGAATTGTAATATGTTAATTAGTTTATGAACGCGTTGTCGATAAATTGGAGACTGTGACCAGCATGCTTTGTTCCCTTCTTTCCTTGTTCTTCCTTCTATCGGCGTGCTTTTCCCAAATCGATTTATTGGGAGGAATTGAACCTCATAAGTATCTCCAGTTCTTGAATTTAAATTTTGTCTTTTTATTCATTGTTCAATAGAATTCCGACAGAAAACTTACCATTGAATTTGTATAACAATGGGCGATATTAAAGTTAATTCATAAATTCTTCCTCCGTCTCTCTTTCTCTCCCCTCCCCCTCCTCCTTTCCCTCCCCTCACGCGAATAATGTTACTGTTTGTCTTGATTATCACTGTATCAGTGATTAAAAGTAATGGTAATCATCGGCATATATCTCAAGGATTGCTGTTAGAAAGTAAATCAAGCAACAGATTGTGAAAAATCTCTGACGTCTCGCTGCTGATCTCTGATCTCTCACTGCCAGAATAATTTCATTTTACACAAAAAATCAAATTATTCTGTCACTGTTTTGACGCATTCAACCATATATTTCCTTCAAAAAGTATGATATAACTTGTTATTGGTTCATTCAATTACTGTTAAGCTTTCAGCTTTTATGATCGGTTGACGATCGGAAAACTCAATGGTAATTTAATACGTCAGTAACAATCGTTGTGGTTGTGATGTTTGAATTCACTGCCAACTGATTGTATATCATTTAATCCCGCTTCCTTAAGAGAGTAGTAGTTTCTCACCTGTTCTGCGAAATAATTCGAATTAAGCGATGTTCTTATAATTAATCTATTTGTAATTAATTTAAGTAGGCGAAAACGCTTTCATGTCACTTAACCATAATTATTAATATTAAAAAATTAGGAAACGAAATTGAAAACATGATTACAAAGGAAGGAAGAGGAGGAAGAATCAAATTGTTGCTTTTTGTCATTTGTGCAATTGTACTAGTAATGGACTGTCCTATTCGTTTTCTTTTCGTTACGTTCTTCACCAGCCATTTCATTTCACATGTTACATTGTATTATCAATTTCAAACGCTTTCTTTCTCGAGATATTTAGTTATTTATAGTTATTGTCATGACACGGGTGAGATAAAAGCAAAAGGAACTCGCAGAGGGTACTGCAAATTACCTTGTTTTATTGTCATAATCTTGTCACAGATGGTCATCTTTCAAAATTGATTCCACTTGGTCATTTCATATACTGGAGAACTGGGATTTTTGTACTTGTCAACTTTTTAAACAATTTATAATGTTCAGCTGTTAGTTTCAACATTGATGAGTTTGCGCTTTAAATATCTCAAATATTTTCTCTTTTGTTGTTTGAAGTGGACGTAACATTGCAAGTTAAGCGGTCGAATTCTTTTGTTGTTTGTTACTTTTCATTGTTTTGCTGTTTACTCATTGCATAACATTTCATCACTTTGCGATTAGTTGGCGGTTGGTTTATTTCAAGAAGACTTATACTTCAATGAATGACGCGCATTAGTAAAGTTGCTTAATTTAAGCTTATAAAGAGAAATTTTCATCATCCTTCCTGATTTCCACCAAAATCTGTCCTACTTGAAGGAGGTTGTCCTAATTCCCCGGTTTTCATTAATGAACAAAAGTGTTTGTATTTAAACTAAATTTATAATGGTTTTCTTTTTTATCGTAATACGTAATGCCAGTAACGTAAAAGAAATGATTTTCATGGTACTACAAATATTTTGATGGAAGTTTCCTGAAGAGTGTGTGTGTAAAGTTTTCACTAACGGTTGTATAAAATTCAAGAGAAGAAGGAAGAAAGGTAGAGACAGCTGGAAATACATAAAAGTGAAGTGAGTTTTATTGAAATAAGTTGTTGATTAATGACATTTGCGACGTAAGCAGATTTATTTGTAATATGTTAAAGTTCCATTTTCTTAATCATTCGCCACATTAATTAAAATTCCAAAATTTTGAGGACGGATCTTATGGATATTCCGTTTCAAAATAACCGTAATATTGGTATGTAATTAATGGTATAGTGATCTGAAAAACAATTGTGCATAATAGTCCTCTTGCTCCAGCAAGGTTACAGGGCAAACTCACACTGATTTCATATTACCTCGGCTGAGCACCTTCAAAGAGTTAGCAAAAATATCCCAATATTGAAGCAAATTTTGTCACTGGAGATCTCGAATGCGGCTTAGCTTATCACCTAGCATTTAATGCAAATCTTGCAATTTCTCGATGATCAGCATCCCACTTTGTCTAACTCCTTGAAAAATGTTTTATTCACGAGCAATCCGTTACAAGTTACCGCAATCAATTTATATATTTAGCCAGGAGTCGTCATATATATATGTATACACAGAAACAATGACATGGGAAACCGATCCAGTGATGGATAGGTACCTTAATCAGTGAGTCATTTCTGTGGGAGGACTCTGTCAGTATCGTTTCACTTTGTCCCTTTTTGCTTTCCCTTCTTTGATTAAAATAGCACAACAGAATGATGAATGAACGAAGTGGTTAATTTAAGGATGTTCACAACCCATCTGTCTTTATTAGTTGTCATATTCGATATCAAACTCAACAGCACTAATTTGTGGCACTGATAATGCACTGCTCAGATTACTCTGTCCGAACTATAACTCATTTACTCACTCAATCTGCCACAAAGTGTAATTAAGTTCATTATTTGTTTTATCGGTTTATCTTGCTCCACAAGATAACCTGATCCAATGGAACGAAAATGAAAGGAGCTGCTCTCTAATTCTGTACATGACAGTGTGTGACATTATTTGTCATCGAAATAATTACAGCGGGAGAAGCAAATCATTGCTCTAATTTAATGTGAGTTATAAGCAAAATACAAAACAACAATGTCGAGTAAAGCTTAGGAGAGAGAAAAAAAGAGAGTGGTGAATGTATATGGCAGTAAAAGTGTAACAACTTATTGTTTACACTATATTTGGGTTGGTACAAACTCAGTGATCTATGAACTTTCTATTTGCCTTCCAGTTCAAAATTTCTGTTTTTACTTTTCACTTATTTATTATTTAAAAGCAGGCGAATAAAGATAAATGCTCAAATAAAACTGATAATTAGCAAAAAGGAGATGGAAGAGATGTACGGATTACCTTTGCCTAATGTAGTTTTAGACGATTACCTTTTGTTTTCCTACAATTACATTTTTCTCTGTCATCTTTGCTCCATAATTGTTCGAGTGTTACTTGCTTATTACTTGTTTATTCGTTCTACCCCATTGGTTTATTTTGCAGAACAGTTTAAAAAAAAAACGTAGCACTTAATTAGAATTTCATCTTGCCTACTTTATTAGGCTTCGAGAACAGGAAAGAAAGAATAATAAACTTTTATTATTCCTATAAGGAGAAAATCATTAAATGGCCAGGTTAGGGCTGTAAGATTTTATTAAAAAGTTTTTTAAAGATTCGTAAAAAAATGTGCGTTTATTTAAACATCTTTTATATATATGAAAAATGGATATTCCGAAGTAAAATACTCAGAAGAATGTTTTCTCAACGCTTCTTGTAATATATGTCGCAATCACTCATACCACAATACAACTGAAATCATTAATTGCCACATCCATAATTTCAGTTCCCTGGCTCCAAAATCATTTAGGCTCCTACTGGAATGATAAAATTCTTAAGTTGGTCTTTTATGTTTTTCACCAGAATAAAAAAGAAATTTTTCTAGTTAGATCTGAAATATGACTGGAGCTTAGACTGTCAAAATCATTAGGACCCTGGCTCATAGATAAGTAATAAATGTTTTTGTTTTCGGATCTGATATTACAATCTTTTTCGTTTTTTTTTTATAATTTTAACTTTCATCTATCCAAAAGCCTTTTATTACGAATGTTGAATACGTAACTCCCTATCCTGTACGCTATATTCGAAAGCCTATTTCAGTATAACGGATAGTGCTAGATATAGGAAATTCGAACTGCTTATTGAACAGTATGTTTTTACTGATGTGATGATTGCTGTTGCTCAAATAACGACGACTGCGCAACCTGTAAGGATTGCAGGACTTGACCAAGTCCTATTAGCACCATAGCTTCATTTGTAAGTTTCTTACCGCTTATTATTTTCATTGTCCTTTCCGAACAATTACGAAGTTTCATCCCTTACAGCGTCCTTTTTCGAGGCGGCATCTGTCACTGCTTGCTAGATCAAATTAAGCCTACTCATATCATGGAAGCTATCATGCTTTTTTTTTCCCCCTGAAATATTCTCCTTTGCTCTAACTGACATAACTAATTGGAAAAACCGGCAGTAATATGTAATGTTTACAAATAAACAGTATGCCGGAATATGATTGAAATTGAAAGTTGCACTGTACTTTGGATTCCTCGAACAACTTCCCGATGTACTTGCTCTGAACTGAATTCTTACTTTGAATCTGTTGGTTTAGTTCATTTCCAAAAATTAATGATTTGAATGCCGTTCAAAGGTGAATGCCTTCTCCTGCACCACTCATTCACTTCTTCCTTCTGATTAGGCTTTCCGAGGATGATTTTGAGAGCCATACTATCGTTCTATTTAATTTATCATCCATGAACCCATGGTGTGGGAAAGAAATGAGAAGGACAGGATGGGTGTTTTGGAAGTTCCGTAAAAATGTGTGCATATGTGTATGTATATATATATATGTGTGTGTGTGTGTGTATACATATAGTATGTGTGTGTGTCTGTTTGTCTGCACGATTTGGACGCACGCACGCACGCACACACACATACATACATACATACATACATACATACATACATTTAGTGATGGCACAGAGAAGTTGCTAACTACATAATATGTCATTTCAACTGAAATGTTGACACATGTTCTCACATCGATTTAACTTTCTTTTGCAAATTAACAGCTCGGAATTTGGTTCATTTACTGGAAGTCGTTTTACTTAGCTTTTGTGACCATCCCAGTTTGTATGTTATCAATCAAACTGTTCATGGTTAGTTACGTATACGTATAGCTGTCACACACGAATAATTGTATTTGTTATGTATTTGTTATGAATTTCTCTGGTCATTCGTATATCTGACCAATAGGAAGCGAAGTGAAAAGTCCTGACCTCGGGCTAATCAACTAGTTCTATTTTTACTGTCTCTTTTCTTCCCGCTGTGCTTCTCTTATGTTGTTTGAGAGAGGTGAAGCGAAAAGAGAGAATGTCGATGACCTGAACGTGAGGACGAGAGGGAGAGAAGGAGAGGGTGGGAAGGAATGTGTTGTCCATATGAAGAAGGGAGTTGATGGTGTAGTAATGAGGTGATGATTATGATGACCTCTGAGAACGGCTTCCTCATCCATGGCGACAGCTAAAAAACTCGCGAGATGATTATTGCGAGATTGCAAGGGAAGAATTAGGAGGAAAGCAGCATAGATTCCTTATCAATCATCGAGGATAGGGCAGGTGACAGGTGGGAGAGAGCTCGACAGTGTTTTACAAGTTTCAGCTATCTTCATTTTCATTACAGTTTCAGGACTCATTAGCTTTTGAGAGTTGGTGTTTTTCCGGCACAACTCAGATTTTTATCCAAAGATGCTCACAGTCTGCTTTGTGAGTGACAGAAGGGGAAGATAGATGTGTTATAACTGATCCGGATTAGCTAGAATGTGGGCCTTCCTTCTTCCTCCTTAAATTGTCTAATCTGAAAATTACTGAGTCCGCACATGGAATCACTATCGAAGGATAATACTAAATCCACTTTGTCGAAAGAGTCACGTTCATTTGGTAATCTTTTACAAAGTCCACACTTTTTCGAAGGTTTGTGTGGAGAATAAGGGAAAATGAGAACGAGAAGTCAGTATTTTAAGATTTCTCAAGTAATGAATAAATTTTGTTATATATTCAATTCCCCTATCATCTTTGTTTATACTCTCATAAACCGATTTGTTTATTATTGACAAATCACATGATCCATCATATATTTTAGTAATTTGAGATAGCTGTACAATTCATAAAACAGTTCATCTCATCTCTTGCTTTTCATTTTTGATATATTGGCAGGTCAGCCTTTTTTTGATCATTGTCTTTTGAGTGACATCGTCTTTCCACGCCATTGATATGGATGCATCTGCCTCAGCACTTACTCTACGTCATTCCATGCTTCCTTGATCACGTCATCTTCACGAAGTTTGATACATCTATTCTCGTTTGTATGGAAACGAAGTACTGAAAATCTGACGAAATGTTGTACAAAAAGTATTTGTTCAAGGAAATTAATTAATGGCCGTTAGGTGGCTCATCTTTTTTACTTCCTCTTATTATGTGTACTTTATTATTATTATTATTATTGTTACAAACTATTAACCCTCTTTTTGTTCAATACCTGTCGTCCGTCGTATCGCTTATCTCACCGATTAATCCCTTATGCAAATAAAACGCATGCCTGGCATGGTATCCATTTTATCCCTACACTAGTGGCCTTCCTCATCTCCCTTCATCCATCTTCCCATCCATTTTGGATGGATTTTCAGCAACATTTTTCCCATGTTCTTTAAAATAGTGCCGAGAGAATTCGATCGTTCTGATCATTTTCTACGATGTGAGTAAATTTATGAGCTGCTTTTGTGGATAAGGAATAGAAAACATTATCTGTCGTAAAAGTATTAAAAGCTTATTGATTGCAAAGTTTACAATTTATAATTAACATAGTGAAAGTTCCATTTATTGATTTGTAGTAGAATTGATTACAGTTTCACTCGGTTTTAATCACTTAGATAGCTAATCAGTTATAATCACGTGGCAACTATATATGATGTGATCAATTCTTTGTACTCCCACATCTCGTAAATTTTTTTCTTACGCCATCACTTTAATCTTAAAAGTGTAGAAATCAGTCCAATAATGGTATTTTGGCGGGTACGTTAGTTATTTTACATTGTCTTGAATGAATTAACCATTTTTAACTTTATCAAAATAACTCTTACCCATAGGGGCAGATAGTACTCAACAATTCCATTAGCGCCCACAAGGTGATCGACATCATTGTTTTATATTCAACATTTTCATGAGTTAATTGATGATGGATGATAATTCCTTTTCATTTTCTGAAGTTCAATATGTTTTGAAATGAAACGAAAAAGTATTGGCGGTAGCATAGCATTCCAATCTTTGTTGAATAATATCTAAACAAATTTCGAAAATCTTTTTCATTCGTAGAACACGTGTTTTCTTTTTTGCTGCCTTTGAAAGTTGAATTTTAGACATTCCTAATTTGTTGCTCTCATTTACAAATAGCGCCACCGCTTCTCCTCTCTTTTGATATCTCAGCTCTCTACCACTGCTGATTTCGACGACAGCGATGATAAAGTGATTACATTGATACTTATCTGCATCTCTCACCTAATACACACTAAACGCGCTCACCTCATGTAATTGTTCTTCAGCAACATTCATGGGACGGGGGACATCGCGTGTATGTCATTATTTGTCCGTATCTTGTACGTGTTTTTGTGTATATGTATATTTATGTACATATGTGTATGTGTATGTATGCATGCATGCATGTATATGTATTTGTATATTGTGTATGTGTGTATTTGTATGTGTCTATGTATTTATGTATGTATGTATATATGTATGTATGTATGTATGTATGTATGTATGTATGTATGTATGTGTGTATGTGTGTATGCATGTGTGTATGTATGTATGTATGTATGTATGTATGTGTATATTTGAATAGTGTCTCGGAGTAGTTTTACTGCATTTGCCGCGATGACTTTTATTCCTTTAAACGTCCGCCTTGTCGTCCCCGTCCCTTTCGTTGGTTTACACTGCGGAACTGTGCATCATACACAGAACAGTTATCCTTATAACCATAACTTCCATCGCTGTAATCACCAACCTTACTGATTCCTGTCGCTTCCTCATTGTCTTGATCACTTCTTCCATTCATTTTCCATACCTTTTGTCAGCATAACATTCTTACATGTCTTCAGCGCCATCCTTATCTTTGTTATCGTTATTTTCGGTCTTAGGGTCTAACAGTTCGTACCGTTTTACATTATCACTTTTCGAGAGTTGACCAGATCAGACAACAGGTAAGTATGGGAAGAAGGAAAAAAAAGACGAGGAATGAGTCGACATCAATGTTACCATGTGCAAAATGTTAATTGCTTCAGCCTTACCATAAGCGAGGACCAAATAGTCGATGAGCCAATTCATTCATAACGTTACAGGTGTAATTAATATCATTATAATTACGGTTCTTCCAATGTCATTTTGTCATTTTAAAAGAGCTTTATTAGAATTAATAATATATATTGGGGATGAAACTGTTCGCAGATGTAATTAAATGTTTTTATATGTTGGGATATGCGATATATACTGTTCCCGTACTTCCAAACTGCATACTCTCGTATTTTTTGTTTTGAATTTCATGATGAACCAAATTTTTAACTTGGCCAGCACCAGTCATAAATATAGGTAAGCATTTCCCTGGACAGATTTCCATCACCTAATGTGACCGCTCTACTACTATTGACCGACATTCATTTCTGAGGTCACGCTGCGCAGCATTATTGAAAATCTCTCACATGTTACTAGCTGTGCTATTGCTACGATCCACCCTGTGAATAATACTAATAATCCATGCTTTGTTGAAGGTGGAGGGGAAGGAGGGAATTTCGAAGAGAATTTAAACTTATTATTTACATTTGAGTTGTAATTCAGTGGTTGCTGTTAGTAAGGTGTCGGAAGATGAATTTCTTTAGGTGAAAACAAGGCTATAGATGGAAATCAGCGTAAAGTTCATTCTGCACTGTGAAGCACTGAGTGCTATTTGAATATATTGTGAAATGAAGTGTGCTCTATTTGTCCCAAGACAAAGAAAGGGTATGAAAGTTAAAAGAAAAAGAGTTGATGTTACAGTATGATCTAATATAAATCCGAGTAACTACATTGACCACACTAACCACCCATCTACGTAGGTTTACAAAAAAATTCTCTTTATATGACATGTATGTCACAATATAGTGGAATATCAAATCAGTCTTAGTTCGTAAAACTCTCTCATTCCTAATTAATCGACAAGAAATAACTGGGCAGATTATACTCATTTATAATAGTTATTGATTGCTTTTTTTCAACAGTATCTATCAATGCTTCCATTTGTTGAAAAGGCAACGCTACAAATGTCATCACATAGAAGTCGTTTAATTCCACTTTTTTTTATAGATACCGTTTTGAAAGCAGTGCTACTTTTTCTTCCTTCATCATGTTTTTGTTCGAATAAAGAAAATTATTCCTTCTCGACTTTCCAACGGAAGTGAAAAAGATTTTCTACCTGAAATTTCCTCAATATTTCATTTTTCTCCAATTGAAGCTCTCATATCTTATGTAACCCTTCATCAAAATTTGATCCGGTTTTTTTCCATAATGGAGATATTTGGGCAATTATGTTTGCGGCAAACAATTCAGTTGTTTTAAACAACTCTCATTTAATTTGTTCATCAAGTCTTAGCATATGGGAGCACTTCAGCCCTCTTTATTTACTACCGCTTAAAGTTGTCTATCGTTCCTTTCCAAAAAAGCTTTTCATCTTTACTTCCGAAAAGGTTCTCGTCTATTAGGTTTATTTAAGTTAAATCAATTTTATAAATAAATGAGCTTATTAAGCAAATAATGTCCAACGTCCCATCAAATGTCATATATTTACTTGATGATTACCACAAAGGTATTTACGAGAGTGTTGATTCAGCTTCTGTGTTACGCGATTATGCAACATTTCACTAATTGTTCTGTTGATTATGCAACATTTCACTAATTGTTTTGCTTCTTTGTTTGACTTCGTATCTGTTCCTCATTGCACACAAAACTTCTCTGTTTAAAGGAAATATAAAAAAAAGAAAGGAAGGAATTGGAGTAATTTTTAATAGTGTGTATCAGAATGGAAATCTATCGATTTATTTCTCGAAAAATACGACACATTTTGAGATTGTCATCAGTCCATTGTCTCTTCTTTATCACAATCTTCTGATTTTGTGCTGATTTATTTTTCATCTCCAGTTTACTTTTTCAAAAACAATAAATGAGTCTTACGAGAACTACTTTTGGTCTTTTCTAGCCTCACTTCCGTTTATGCCATACATATATCTGTGGTGTTTGGAAAAGAAATATTGTTCTTTGAATGCTTCCTTTGATATTTGCTTGTTAATTTCACTTAATCATTTGTTTACTTATCATTTGGCTATTATTCATTTTCAGTTACAAGCAATTGTAGGCCTGTAGAAAGCACATAAACTAGGATTAAAAAATGGAATCTAATACGTCAGTGGCAATGTGATACGTATTGCAACTCCTCCACTGAAGAATTCTTGTATGCATGCTTAGAGTACTCATTTAACCTGCTAGTCATTGATTTATGATTATTTCGAGTTGAAAATTATTTGTTTACATACTTTGTTAACTTGAAATGATCGTCGCATTTTCGGAGGATGATATTTTCTCTGTTAATCATCGAATTATTGACGCGAATTTCAGTTGTTATTCATTGATTCGTTTATTCGGGAAATACACATTCGTATATATATAGATATATATATGTATATATATATATATATATATATATATATATATATATATATATATATATATATATATATATATATATATATATATATATATATAT